GGTTCCCGTCCCCTTTTATCGTTTTTAATCATTCTCCCCTTTCTTTAATTCTGTTGTCGGAAATAGTAAATAAATCGTAAGTTCCATAAAATTCAATCCCAGGAAAGTTTAAATAAACCACCGAATTCCTTGTGTTTCTTTTCTCTTTTACGATTTTTTTAATCTTTTTCTATGTTTATAATTTAATTGTCGGGAAAATAAAATAACAACGGTATTCCCCCTAGAATTAAATGCTGTGAAAAAATGAAAAAATTATAGGATATTATGTCTTTCCCTTCTCGCCTACTGGTCTTAACCCCTCTTCCCACCTTTAATTATGGTACTAAAATAGACAAAAATTTGAGGCCCCATTTTGCTCCGGTCGTATGCTGCAAAAACGTTGCGGTGAGGTCAACTCCCTTGTTGCCTCTCCGCGGCAGGTCAATCCCGGTCTAACCTTCGGAACGGTCTGAAATGGCAGTCCCTAGACATGCCGAGTCCGGTCACCCATCTCGCCATCTTTGAGGGTTGCTCACAAAGCTGAGTGAGCCCAAAATCAGGGGTGCCTGATTTCCCCTAATTTTTGCTGCCTGGTCATACGAGACTTCCATCAAAACACGGATTTGCCCCTGACCCTAAGTCGCAAAACTGCGGTTCTCAGGCGGCGCACTGCCTGTGGCCGCCTGACAACGTGTCGTTTTGCCCATATCGTCGACCCACACTAAGCCTAAGTCCGTTTACGTAAGACCTCGGAAGTCTACCAAGATCCTCAACAACGGCGCCACTTGTCAAGTGCATCGGTCTCGTAGAAGGAACCCCCCGGTCATGTTACACAGAATTGACGAGACTCTTTTGGCACTCATATAATGAAGCAACGATCTCGCTCCGGTTCAGTGAGCCAACTATACCTCTGTCGAGTCTCTACGACAAGTAGGGTCTTGCAAGGTACAACTTACCTCCACCTGAAGAAGCTATCACCATCCCTTAGGTAGGCATATCGTCGGTTGGGTCACCTCTGCGATTGCATGTAAATTTCACTTATGGTTTGGTAGCTCGACGGGGATACGCCCGCCTATAACTTTCATAGGTGGAGGTAAGTTGTACTTCGCAAGACCCTATGTATCGTAGGGACTCAAATTCCCTCTAAAGTCGGAAGTCTGACAGTTACCTCTGACAACCCTTGCTAGAGGTTGCATCTCATGGGGAGAAGTGTCCTCACGAGGATGACATAAAAATAAAAGAAAAAAGCAAACCAAACCCCATAAACTGCACTGGACCTGACCTTCATTTTTGTGAGGTATGTGATGTTAAATCTAACAACAACCCTACCTTTTCCTCCGTCCTTCCCTGAAAATGGAAAAACAGTTGGTAAATTGGAAAAAGTTTGTCCTCATATCTCCCAATCCTCTCATTTTCTCTTTCTCTCTCTCAACATCTCAAACTTCTCCCAACTTTTTTTCCCCTGTACGCATCGACCTGAGCTACATAATTGAAGATGTTGTGTGACGGTGAATATTCGCACATTTGCTTAGAGCAGGGGAGTGCGGTCTCACCGGCCTAGAAAAGGTTGTGTTTACCACACGAGGCAAGACATGTGTTTCTAGTAGGCTTGTTGAACTCCCAAAAAATGTCGAAACACAGATTCAAGTTCAAATCCATACGCAACAAAAAAACTCGTGGCATACACATGCACATTCTCTTTACAACTGCGCCAAAAAAGACAGCAGTCACAATGTATCATCGGGGAGAGGAATAAACAATGAAAAAAAAAGAAAAAAAAAAACTAATTGTAACGGCTTAGCCATTGGTACACCCACAAATTATTGAAATATATATCAAAGTTCGAATTCAGATGGAACGTGGAGGGACAAACTAATTTCCACAATGAGGAACTATGCCCCACTACTCCATACATGTGCAAAACGAGAGTGAATCTTCCGCTAACATGAAAAACTATACGGCCATGATTTTCTTTTTTGTGCATGTGGAAAAAAGTAGAGGGGTGTGCGCTGCTGTGTAAAACTACGCATGTTCCTAGTATGCCAAAACGAAAAATGAGGGAAACTAAAAGTAATTAAAAAAAAATCTAAAAAAAAACTTACCTAACAATCGTTCGTTTCCTCTTCCTCAAAGTTTGTAAATCTCTGTTTCCTCCATTTGGTGCTTTTAGTTTCGTTTCTCCTTCCCCCCCCTTTTTTTTTGTATATTTGTTAGCATAAAACCAACGACCGTTCCAACCTTTCTTCGTCACGAGGGCGCAACCCCAGACTACTGTATAAATATGAGTTCTAATCATGCGAAATTCAAAAAGGAAAAAAAAAAAGTCGTTTTCTCGATTTACGCGTGTCATCCTTGCGCTGGGGCCATGCTGATACCATTGCGCGGAGCAAGTAATTTAAGTTGTGCGATCGTACAGATATGCGACCCAAATTATTTGCACCATGCCTAAGCACAAAGTTGCTCCTCATCAAAAGGAGGTAGCCCAATGAGTTATTTGAGATTCGATCCAGTGTCTAATGGGTAAAAGTTCGATGGGGTACCTACTAGGCTACTTCTTATCACATAAGTTAAATAGACAATGCCCTTATCTAAAGAGGTGCGACATAGTAGATCGCCTGCATTTAGGCCTAGACAAATCCAACCTACTTCACCTACTTAAAAAATTGCCCACCTGCCATTTACCTGACGGGTACTTAGCCTAGTAGGCTAGATTACCAGACTTCTAAGCCATAGACGCGGCATCTACCCCCAATAGACCCATCTTCAAAGTCGCTTAAAAAAATAAAATTGGTAACTTGCGCGTTCGACATCAGGATCGCACATGGGTCGTGAACGACTTTTTTTGGCCATTTAACCTATGAACACTCTCATTTTAAACAGGAATGGCTGAAAATTAAGGTTTCAAAAGCCACGCCCCTTTGTGGCCTCTCAAAATGCGGAAAGCGGCAGGCCATACTGCCGGTTTTCACTATCGCTCACACAAGCTGCAGGTGTCTGGGCTTCGGTACGAAAAAACATCTTAGCCTCCCGATCGTTGGTCTGGTCTGAATACACTTTTGACAGATATGCCAATCTCATCACGTCACTGAACTCGATACTATTCCTACAAAATATCGCCCTGTGTCTAACATCAAAAAATACCGAGCAGATACCCTTGTAAGGGTTTCGGCTCCGACTGCATTCCCCATGGACCCCTTCTTCCGGTTCTCCTGTTCTATCCTGTAGCAAATTGGATGTCCCTCCAGGTGCACCGTGCTACCTGGGGGTGTATCTAGGCAGGATGGGGATAGAATTACGAAGTGGAGAGGCTACGGTAGTCCGAGATCACCTGTGGTTCCAGAAAGTTGGGCTGTCCTGGGTTGGAACCTCCCCGAAGGGGGTTTCCAGCAGCATCCGTTTGAAACTTGGGCCTCTCCATTTGTGACTTCCCTTCGAGGAGCGAGGTGGTCCCAAACCGCGGCCAAATGGTGGTGTGAATTTTCTGTACTCGGTTGGCCAGGGGGGCGAAGTCCCACTGGCAGGGGCTTAGTCTTCCCCTTTCGCGTATTTTCAACGTGGCCACAGCACGCCCGTGCGATGTTCAGATCGGACGGCAAGAACCAGTGCGTACTCGAAATCATTCCACCCCCCGCGCTACCGGTAGTGGGATTCCCGGTTTTCGATCCGTCGAACAGAAAGCGGGAGAGGCCCAGAATGTAAGCTTCAAGCACCTTTTCAAAACCTCCCGCGCCATGCTGGATCGTCCTTTCCGACCTCTTGGATGTGGAAGATCGTCCATTCTTCTCCTCTGGAGCTTGGCGGCGCCCAGTAACGAAAAAGCAAGCGAAGATGGTGGCCGGCAAGGGTCAGCGCATCCGGTGAGTTAGGGCCTCTTGCTGGAGTTCGACGCGTGGGTTTCCTCCATAGCCGCTGCTCCTGCAATCTGTTAATTGCTGCATTCGGGTGGATAACCATTCATCATTCTGAAATGGAACGGCAACTGCCAATGGATTGAGAAGATGGGTTGATGTGGCACTGGCAACGGATTGAGCGGATGGGTTTAAGTAAAGGGCACGCACTTACCTATCTATAGGTTGTGATTACTACATCTCTTCTTCATTCGTTGAAGCAGCCATGAGCCTCCGGTATCCTGGAGGCGGGTTAGGGTTTGATTTGCCTCGTAGTACGTTTTCATCCTCCCGCATTTTGAATGCCGATGGCCATGCTCTCTCTCTCTCTGTCTCATATTCTTTCTCGCTCTCCCTCGCTCTCTCTCTCTCTCTGTCTCATGCTCTTTCTCGCTCACTGTCTGTCTGTCTGTCTTTCTCTCTTTAATTTCGGCGTGTGCAAAGTCTTCGTCGAGTTATCTCTAGTTGGTTTGCTGAGCGTACGACTGACATTTGCTCTTCCGCCTTCGTGTGATCGATCTGTGCAGGTTGTACGTCCGGGGGATCGTTCTCGGATACAAGAGGTGAGTTTCGTTTCAGCACTCTTTAACTGGTAAATCGGTGTGTGGGGAAGGGAGTAGTGTCCATCTCTTGAGCGAGTTCTCCGGTGGGCTGTAAGATAACATTAAGTTATCACTCGTTGGGGTTAGGTCTGCGGAAGTAGACGGCAACCTACGATTGTGTGATGCTACCGTCTTCACCAGAATAGAACGCGCAACCTACGATTGTGTGATGCTACCGTCTTCACCAGAATAGAACGCGCGGCCATTATAGCTGTATTCGGGACAAGTTTCAGTCAAGATACAGCGATGATGACCGGGCATTTTATTCGGATGAAGACGGTAGTAACCTACGATTGTGTGATGCTACCGTCTTCACCAGAATAGAACGCGCGGCCATTGTTGGTATTTTGGGGGCAACTTTCGGTCAAGATACAGCGATGATGACCGGGCGTTTTATTCGGCTGAAGACAGTAGTCACCAAATCGAGTGGCATCTCCAAACAAAGAGTTCAGTCCCTTTGTGTGGTCAGTGCTCATGGCGTTCGGGTAGCGAAGCCTGATACAGTCCCTAAGTGTGGTCAGTCCCGAAGAGTTCATCACCTGATAGTGTCTCTGCGGGTCTCATTTTGGAAATGAAAGAAGTCGGTTTTTAGGGTTCGCTGAGTTGTCACGGAAACCTAAATCTGCCACTTGTTGAATCGCACTTTCCGTATATGAACGAGTAAAGTGACGTGATGCGAACCCGGGAGGTAGGGTCTGCGATAGGGGAGACGAAGCGACTTGAGGGCCGGTACTCCGTTTACGGTCGGGGAGTGGGAGTTTTTTTTGGGTTGAAGGGCGGAAATGTCATGGGAGCGACCTAGGTGTTGTCACCCCAATGGCTGGTGCGGTAGTCGGCGGTGTTTGCGGGGTCATGTTGATTGAGTTCGGGATGTGTCTGGGCTGATCGCCTTTTAGGTACGTATAATGTCTGGTTTCTTGAGGGCTTCATTCACCGGTCACCTGTCTCGTTAGGTTTTTGTTTCTTCCATGGGTCATTTCGGACTCTTACGTGAGGGGGGTTATTTTTCACCGACCACCTGGAATTTGTCGGGTTTCTTGCGGCTCAACCTCGACCTTGATGTTCGTCCGATTGTCAGGACGTCAATGAAAAATTGTTTTCCCAAGTTCTCTGATCTCTTTCCCAAACGATTATGTTACTTCGATGGGACTGCCTGGGTTAGGGCCAAGTACTCGACATGCGTCATGCGATTTGAAGAGAAATGACGAAACAGGGAATGAAGAAGGAAAAACAAGAAAACGAGCAAAAGGAAAGATTGGCCTGATTGGCTCCGGCAATTACGTAGTCTCTCTGGAGTTTTCAATTACACTCTTATTTTGTTAATGTTCTTGTGGAAAATAGCAGAGTAACATATTGTATAAACTGCTTAGTTTGTAAATGTCCTTGTGGAAATAGAACAACACATCATGGGCATGTGAAATCGTGTTCTCCCTTTCTTAGCCTTTCTTTCTCTGATAAAAGTGAAATCGTGTTCTCCCTTTCTTAGCCTTTCTTTCTCTGACAAAAAGTCTTCCGGCGATCAGTTAGTGTTCCCGGAGTTTTTATTTAGCGTATTCCCCGAACAATACTTTTTATTTATCCATTCGAATTGCTATTTACTATTTACGAGCGTCCTTGTGGAAACAGAACAAATGTAATTGTCGACGGATCGACCATCGCCTTCGTTAGTTTGCGTCTGCCAGTTCGTGTACATGTTTTGTTCTCACATGGTCTGTTTCTGCCAAGCTCGTTGTTGTGATATACGTGCTCTGCACCAGTAAGAGTTGTCTTTAGTTTCTGCTCTTCAGTTTCTGCAGTAGTATGAGTCCTCCGCGGATCCGCAATAGTACGAGTTGTGTGTGGGGAAGTGTGGACGCGGTGAGCAGGGCTGGTGGGAGGGCCGTATGAACGGAGGGGGATAAGAGGCATGAATTAACGTGTTTTTGGTGTCGGCGGTGTTGTTTGTGGAACCCAGATCGAAGTCGAATCAGTACCCTAATACCTCTCTTATTCAAATAGAGGGTGTGAACACCCGCGAGGACGTGGCATGGTATCAGGGTAAACGTCTCGCTTACGTCTACAAGGCAAAGACGAAGACGAAGAAGAATGACTCCAAGTACCGATGTATCTGGGGCAAGGTCTGCCGGCCTCACGGCAACACGGGCGTTGTTCGTGCTAGATTCAAGAGCAATCTGCCGCCCAAATCCATGGTTAGTAAAATCTCACGCAACGACCTCCTCTAGTCGTTCTTCGTTCTTGAATGGTGTTGTTTGATGCTGAGTGGTTTTGTATCAAATTTTAGCAGAACTAAACTGTAGCGTCCAAATTTATAAAGTCGGATTGCAAATGATTTCTCTCTCGAGTGGATAAGTGACAATGACACGTGCGAGAATGATTGCGAGCTGTCTTTCATGTCGGGCTCGTAGACGCGCTCGCCTCCTGAAATGCCCCTTGCGTTGTGTGGTACGGAAGGCATCGGAAATGGCGCGCACAGAATGTTTTGCCGACTTAGGGAAATTCAGTTGGAAGTGCAAGAGGACGGCAGTCACGCCTCTGACGTTAACGCTCGGAAGTGGCAGTTCAGGGCCTGGGATAAAGTGGTGAAGACAGAGAGAAAGAGAGAGGTGGAGAAAAAAGTTGGGAAGAGTTCCGGGTCTGGGATAACGCCGTGAGGAAAGGCGGGAAAAGAGGGGGGGAGAGAGAGAGAGAGAGCGGGAGGTTTGCTGGACACGGAAATTAAGCAACAAGGATGTGGCTGTGTGCAACACAGGCGGCATGAAGTGTGGTGAGCCAGTGGGAGGTCCAAAAGTTGTGAATAGGGAGCGAATAGGGAGCGAATTTCGCACAAACGTTTTGGTTAGAGCGAAGAGAAGCATTTTTTGAAGTGCCGTTGGCCGGAAGAGTGCGAGTGAAGAGCTTCGCAAATCACAGTAAGCGATGAAGATCTTCGCTCGGAATCGTTACTTCTACATAAAAAGGGGTTTGGAGTTGGTTGGTGGGAAAAGCTGATTGAACGAAAGTCATTTATAGCGAAGAGTGGTTAAAAGCGGGGCTATGACGGCGGTGACTGCAGTTAGGTATGGAAGAGGAGAAGTTGAAGAGGAGACGGGTTAATGATCAGATATGATTCAACACGATGCGATCAGCGGAAAGAGGATTTCCTTCAGTTGCGAATTCGTGATTTACTTGGAATTTCCGGTGAACGAGAAAGCGACCACATTCAGCGAATGACAAACTGGGACTGAAGTCAGTGGATGCGTCCGGGTGTGCAGAGTATGAAGCAAGACTGAGGCCGACGAGTGGACACGAAGTTTGATGATGACAACAATATGGGAGGCGTTTGGCAGAGGAGGCAGATTTGCTGGCCTGTATTTGATATGGCGACTCTCGAAAAGCTATCGGTAGTACTTTGAGTGGGCAACTGTAAGGGAATTGCCGACCGTATATACCCTCAGTGGATGCCTCCGGGTGTGCAGAGAACAGGGCTAGGAGGACGATGAGGGGATGCCAAGTGATGACGAGAACAATACGGGAGGCGTTTTGGCAGAGGGTAGCGAGTTCTGCTGGCTCGGATTTGTAAATATTCCAAGTGGGCTTGTTAGGGAATTGCCGACCGTATAGCCACGGGTAAAGCCGTGGCTATGAGAACGATGCGGAGAAAGCAATGAGAAGAACCTGGAAGGCCGACCTTATGCACTTCAAGCGATGAGAAGGAAGCAAGAGGAAGAGGGGAAGCAACTGATCTCTAGGTAAAGGGAAGTGAAAGCTAAATGCCGAAAGAATAAGACAATGGGCAAACTTTGCAACGGAGTACAGAAACTGCAGTGTTTACAAGAAGTTGCTGTCTCGCGACGATGTTGGACAAGGAGGAAGAGAAAGATGGCAGGGATTAATGGGCAGAGAAATGGAGAGGGGGAAAGGTGGGAGGGAGACGGAAGGAAAGGAGTACCTATTGCGTGCGATGGTTTGATGTCAGCCATTGCCATGAGTGGGTGTTTTGCAACGACGTCTTTCGAAAGGAGAATGTCTTGTTGCTGCGTAAGAACGTCTTGCTGCTGCGTTTTTTTTTTGTCCTATTTTCAGAACTAAGCTGTAGTATGATGTCAATTTCACCTTGCATTGTCTACCTACCGCTTCCTAAGTCTAAACAGGGGACTCCCGCAAGCATAGCTGCCTCTCACAACTAGGGGATGCATGTCACTCCCCGCCCTACATCGTCATCGCTGAAATCTTCGATAATCTGCATTTGATCAGCCTAGCGCCTTCCTCCGAACATAACGCACCCCGATAATCAACGTATATAAGTCGTATTTTCGATCAGATACAGCCAAAGCGAGGGTGCGTGGTATTCGGGGGAAGACGGTAGTGTTGTGATGATCGCGAGAGCTTTAGGGCCGAGAAAACGTGGAAGGGGCGGTCATAGGTGTTAGTCTTAAGTAACGATTAATGTTTTTCTTGTACGTGGTCCGTTTCCTACAGTTTATTCGCGGCACTTGCTGGTATGTTGTTGGTATACGCATAAATCTTAAGTAATGTGATATGCTTTTCTTATACGTGGGCCGTTTCCTGCAATTGATTCTCGGCACTGCCTGGTATATTGCGGGTATATGCGTAGTAATGCGATATGTTTTCCTGTATGTGACGTCTGGGGCGTTTTCTGCAATTGATTTGTGGGACGGCCTCTGGTATTTTGCTGGTATTGTTATAGGGTTGCGCTGGCTTAAACGTGTCTCCCTTTTGGAAGAGTCGTGTAGTGCTAACAGGAATTTGTCTGTGCTTTGGCTGGATGTCTGTGTTTTGCCCTGATGGGTTTGCAGGGAGCGAAGGTGCGTGTTATGATGTACCCTAGCCGGATCTAGAAAGGGAGAGTGCCCAAGTTCGCCTTCAACTAGGCTGTCTCGACGGCTGAGAGGAGAGGCTGCTGCTAAGATGCTCACAGACATGCAGTGTATATTGAGAGTTGAGTTGTAGTCCACGCCGTCTGCAGCCGTAGCTTGGTTGTTGTTTTTTGACATGGCCACTGTCGCGTACGAGTTATTTTGAATGATATCTTTTTCAGACTGTGTCGTGCGGCGGTCTCTCTTCCTCTACTTCTGCCCTCCAGTCGGTGTGTCCATTGATGCAGTTTACTTTTTCTCACTATGTATGTTGACGTTGTGGTCTGTTAATCTTTCCTTCCTGGATCTTTTCAGACTGTGTCGTGCGGTTGGTGCCGTCTTTGTCATCATCCTTCCAGATGGTGTTTGTCTGTGCATCTCTACTTGCTCCCTTTGAATGTCTGTTGACGTTGCTGTCTGTTCATCTTTCTTTCATTGACGAGGAACAATATCTTTTGGATTAAAATCACTTGAGGAATGCTGTAATCTCCTCACTGTTGTTCCTCGAAGTAACTGTCGTTGACGAAGAATACTGTCTTGTGTGTGCGAGAGAGAGAGAGAGAGAGAGAGAGAGAGAGAGAGAGAGAGAGAGAGGGTGTGTCGAACAAAGACAGATCGAGGACTGTGGCAATGATGAATAGGGGGAGGAGATGAAACCATGGAGAATCAGATCGAGTTTCTTTCCCTATCAGTGGAAGGCCAAAGTTGCCGAAAAGATGAAAAATACTGAAATGGAATGCGGAAAAAAAACGGCAAACGGTGGTTCGTAACCTTTCTTCAGTCCGCAATTCTTTTGCTGCAAGCTTTAAATCTCTCTCTCGGTGTCCCTCTCTCTCTCTCGTTGTCCCCATATCGTTTCCATTTGATTCCATGGGGATTCTAACTTGTGTCCATAAGTATTTAATAGCTGGAGGTGTGTTACCATTCAGCCACATAGAATTAGGGCATACCCTCTAAAAAAAAATAAAAGAAATCGTTGCTTTCCAAGAGAAGCGTTTGTTGTATCTCCGTGGCCAGTAACCTGCAGTGAGCATCTACAGTCCGCCTCTCGTTCTCTCCGATCTGTATAAATCTATGCATCTAACCTGTCTCTCCAACCTCTCTCTCTCCCTCTCTGTCGTTATGATGCCCCCACATCGTTTCCATCTGATCCCATCGGGATTCGAACTCATGTCCATCAAGTATTTGACAGCTCGAGGTGTGTTTCCAATCAGCCACAGGTAAAAAAAAAACATAGACGACAATCGTTGCTTTCGTTGCCTCCTGAAATAAGCGGTCGTTTTATCGTCCTTCCTCCTCCCCCTCTACCATCTTTCACCTGGTAGAAGCAAGCTCTTTATGAGCTTGGGCAACCTTTCAATCTGGGGTAATGACCGTGCGCGTTCTATCAGGGGGAGGAGGATACGTTCTGGAAACGTCGCCTTCCCCCCTCCGGCTGGCTGCTCCCTTGGTCGCGGCTTCATTCCCCCTGGGTGAGCTCTTTCGGGTTTCTTTTTTCGGGGGGGGTATTGGAGCCCCTTGTTGACTTGCTCAATATATTATTAATTTATTATTTATTTAAAAAATCGAAGAGGTCGAAAAGGACGTGAATGAGGTCTGCGCCCGTTTCCTGTTTGCCATCCCTCGTTGGACAGTCGTGCATACTTCTTTTTTGTCTTTTTCTGTCGGATTTTTTTGCATATAGAACGAACATAGCAGTGTAATCTGATTATAATATCAATTTGTTAGGTGATGTGTTGCCATTCCCGAACGTGTTGCCATTCTATACACGTGGTTTGATCTCATTTGCCATTCACGGACGTGTTGGCATTCTATCCACGTGGCTTGATCTCATTTGCCATTCACTCACGCGCGTTCAGTATGGTACAGGCAAAAAAGGGGGCACACATGAGACGGACCTAACACGCGAAGCTCAATGACGTGGACGTCTACTATCAGGCTACCAGGTAGTGCACTTTTTACTAATTAATATTTGATATTTAATTAGTAAATATAATAGCAGTACTTGAACAAAAGTAAACCCAACTTGCTCCCTTTTTCCCCATCTTTTTATCAGCATCACTCTGTTTCACAGCTCTTCTTCTCTCTCTCTCTGTCTTTCTCTCTGTCTTAAGTTTCTATCTCTTTTTAACCATCTCATTCTCAGAACATCAACTCTCATCGTCTTTTTTTCCCCGTCTCTTGTTCACCATCCCATAACTCTGCCCTTCCGTCTCCATCATCGGTAGATCTGTACTCCGTTTGATCGACTAATGTTCGATCGCATGTGAATATCGTTGTCGCTTTTTTGGCACTGGCTGGCTGACCCTGACGCGCTTTGGAGTGACGCCAGAACATTTCAACCTCATCAGGGGGACAGGTCGACGCTGTGTTAACCCGAGTTATTTCTCTACTCAGCCTCGTTGATGGAGAGACACCACGCCGACCCAGGTTTCGATTGTAGGTGGAATCAGATGAACAGAACAAAAGAATTCTTGATTTTTCTGGGTCGGATCAGTTAAATGGCGATAGCTCAAGGTCGGGGGGGGAGATGATGATCCCCACCCAGATGCTTGAAAAACGAAGCCACCTAGGATTTACCTTAGGTCGGTTGGTACGCCCATCAACTGTCGAGATATAAAGACCCCCTAGTTCGAAGCCATCCTTGTATTAGTTGTTACGCTCATGAACTGTCTAGATAGACCCCCTCGTGCGAATCCAGACGCAATCGGACGAACAGGATAAAAATAAAGTAAATCTGCTGAGTTTCAGACAAGGATATATAGAGGACGTCGCCCTCGACAAACACGTCGAAACGAAGAAGAGAAAAGGAAAGAAGGGGGATGAGGAACTGAGGGAAAGAAACAACTAGCAAAACTTTTCTCGGATTCTTGGTCTCGTTAATCAACGATGACGAATGGAGAGGAGCCGTGTTACGTGAGATCTTGGTCATTGCTCCGTTACACACCGAATGTGCAAAATGAGAATGAATCTTCCGCTAGAACATTGGAATAGACATCGTCATATTTCGTCTTTTGTGCATGTGTCGAGTAGTGGAGCGAGGCCCCTTTCCCCGGTTGTTCTGCCGTTCGAAGGTCTGTGCCATCATGTCAGCATGTCCGACTTATCTGTTGAGGTCACTGCCGCATCGCTGAAGCAGGTTGAATGCGACAACAAAACGATTTGATGTATGTAGTGCTACTTAGTTTGTATAGGGTGGCTGAAGAATTGTGGCGTACAAGCATGTGGGGCATGCAGGTCATTGACGGTTTAGGAAACTTGAGATCTGCTAGTGATGACGTAGTCTGCCCGGTCATTGACGGTTCAGGAAACTTGAGATCTGCTATTGCTAACGTAGTCTTCCCCCCATCGCCGCCCTCTGCGTACAGCGTACGACCTTCCTGCTTACCGTCGTCCGTCCCCTGAAGAGAACGCACGACTACTACTGTTGTATCGTGGAGTGAAAGCCGGTCCAAATACAGCAGGTTCTTATTACAGTAGTATCATCGAGTGAAAGTTGGTCCAAACAAATGCGGATGTATACGCTTGGTACTGCTGTATGCTGGAGTGAAAGTTGGTCCAAATATAGCTGTATGCGCCTATTACTGGTGTATCGTGGAGTGAAAGTTGGTCGAAATACAGCAGTACTCTTATTACAGTAGTATCTTCGAGTGAAAGCTGGTCCAAATAAATACAGCTGTAATTTCGGTACCGTACCGTACGGTCCATTACGGGGGGACGGAGGGGGGAAGACGGTGGAGGCAGAGGTTAGCAATTATGCCGGCGAAGGAGTGTCCACAATTACAGGCCTGTTGGTTGGGAGGCGGAAGTGACAATTTGAACCGTATCATGCGTTGAGCCTCGAGTGTGGAGTGATTTCATTTACCTTCCCCCATCTTTGCCTGCATTGTGTGTAGGAACCTGTCTAGGTTCATTAGATGGCACTTGGTCATGTTTCTGACTTGGGGGAACTGCTGGGGACAGCTCCCGCGGCCATGCCATGACTGATTGCAGCAATGTCACCTTTTTTGCAACGATCAGAGATTTCCTTTGCAAAAATGATGTTTTCTTGTTGTCATCTCAGCAATTTCTTTTGGAGAGGCGATGCTTTCTTGTCGACGTCAGCAATTTCCTCTGCAAAAATGAAGTTTTCTTCTTCACGTCAGCGATTTCCTTTGCAACGGCAATGTTTTATTGTTGATGTCAGCAATTTCCTTTGCAGAAATGGTGTTTTCTCGTAGACGCCTGCAATTTCCTTGGCAGCGACGTCTCCTTGCCCCCCACCCCACCACCACCCTCCTCCCGCCCTGCAGGCCGGTCCCCCGCCGCCCTTTCTCCCTACCCGATATCGTGGTTTTCTTTTTCATCCCTTGTGGATGGATTTGTTTTTGTGTTATGGATGGATTTGTTTTGTGTTATGGATGTTGGTTCATGTTATGATTATTTTTTTCTCTTTAATGGTGTCCCCCTTTCCCCTCCTGCCCGTTCTCCCTCTTTCTCGACAGTCTCCTATCGGTGGATAGGAGACTGTGTCGAGAAACCTCTTTTTTCGATCCCTGCCTCGTCGTTTTTCTTCTTGGGTGGAGGTGCGGGGTGACAATCCTCGATGCCTTGCCTCCTATCGTCCGTGCAGAGCTGATTTGAAATGGATCATGAATGAACATCACTAAGATAACGGGCCAGAAACCTTGAAGTATGCTGAAAGACGATCTTGTGTGTGGAAATAAAAAAAGGCGCGATATAATGTGAATGTGGCAGGCGTGTTGCCCCATGCGGGCTGCCCCGGGGAACGCACCCTGCTTTATGCTATTTTTTTGAAGCTGTTGTATGACATAGTAGATGAGAAAACTCTTCCTAATATGAGATGTATGCGTAAGGGGAGGAGATGGGGTGTGCTGTGGCGGTCGTTCACGACAAGCAGGTACACAGACTTGTATGCGAGAGCTAAAGTTGGAATTAAGCTGCAAGAAAAAATAGAAGGGGTTCCCCAAAGAAAGCCGGAGGATAGATTGTCAAGAAGCGTATGTAGGGGGGTTATCTATTCTGCTCGAAGGGTTTATAGGGGGAGCTATTCTGCTCCAGACTGCTTGCTATATATTATGCTCGGTCGGATTGGCACCTCGAGTGTGCCGCGTTGTCTCTCTGCACTAGAGGTATAAAAAGATGCTCTGTTTTACTCATCTGGGCGGAATAGGGGGGGCTGTTGTCGTGCAAATCTACAACAAACAGGGGCATATATGACCGCGTCTGACCCGGCCTCGATGCACCTGGCCGCAATGACCTTGATATACATTGATTTTCATTATTTACATTATTTACATAATTGATTCACTAAAATACCTTGAACTATTGACAGTTAATAATTTCAAGGTTAAACTATCTTTGGATTTCAAAAGGCCCCTATCGTCTAGCTGGCCTCGGACACCTCCCTTTCACAGAGCCAACGGGGATTCGACTTCCCCTGGGGGTACCCATGATATATCTCATTAAATTTCTATCGTAGTGTCAATTTCTCAACAATTCTTAAATAATGTTATTTTGCATCATTTTTATTATTCAAAGACTATTTGATAATAGGGAAATAAAAAATACAACGATATAGTCCAATCTTGCTAGCTCGAAGAGAGTCATATAAGTGGCAAGAGCACGCGTGTGAGTACATGCGCACAGACATACAGTTTTGGTCTTGGGTGCAATGGTCTTGGCAAGTGCACGCGTGAGTTTTCATTTCCAACAGAACGGAAACCCTCACACGTCGATCATGGATGTATACAAGCTATTAATCTGGCTGGATACAGTCATGGCGAATGTATACAAGCAAGACGAGGTAAGCATTGCCCCCGAAGGTAACGCAATCCTGTTTTGGCTGCGCCGGACCGGAAAGGTACCCACGTTCGTTATCATTTTTTTATTTTATTTTGTTTTTTTATTATTTTTAATGGGGACAAGGCTCCAATCTATGAATTGGGAGCAGAAATGGGGTGAAGGGTAGTTGGTAACGTCGGCAATTCGGACTAAGTATATGTCTGGCAGGCAATGTAGTTTAGCCGCATTTCAGACCAGGTACAGGTCGTACGAGTTTGTGGTGATGCGTTTCGGCCTTCGCAATGCACCTGGTGCATTCCAACACGTCCTGAATAGGATATTCAATAATCATTTAGAAAAGATAGCAAATCCAGATATCCTGCAGACCAATTTTATCTGGATTTTTCACTCCGGATGAAATTTTCGGATAAATTCCGGATATGGAAAGTCCGGTCCTTCGCAAAATACGTTTTTTTTTTAACAAAACCAAACTGAACTTTTTTCTTTTTTCTTTTTTGTTTTTTCCCAAACCTTTCTTGTCTTTGTAGGATCTTTCCAAATTTAACGGATTTTCCAAATTTACCTGAAAAAAAAAAAAACAATACCCTGAAGAGGCATATGATTATTTGAGTTTCAAAGGGCCCTACAATGAGAGGGAGTGTATTGATAGATATAGACCTCCTGATCTGTTTGTGGACACAGCTACGTGCATGTACCATTCGGTAAGCAGTACATCAAGGAGAGGAGCGCAGCTCCCGTCGATGTGAGTGTGGGGACCACATAACCTCGATGTGAGTGTGGGGACCATATAACCTTGAGTCTGGCAAAAGCACATCCAACTAGTGCATAGCAAAATTGAAAACTTTGGGCTGTCGTGTGACTATGGACCTCCGCTCCACTACTGACATTGTTCATGCATCTGGACGGCTTCGGCACCAGGTGCATTCGGACGGATTCATATCGAGGGATCTGTACGGGAGCGACATCCTATAACAAGTCAAAATCATGCAAGCACCTTTACTCGTGATCCATCAGTTGTCCTCCTATGCTGTTCACCTGCATGGAATGTCTCTTGTCATGTCTGTATTGGCCTCAAACGTTCAGTCTAGATACACAGTGACACCGCCATTATGTCCGTGTGTTGAAGAGGCTATTGGAGAGAACTGCCTGTTTGGCAGTTAGGGGCGCTGGTATGAGCAGACGTCTCTATCTCCCCTGGGGAGGCTCCATCTAATGGTGGGGGTGAAGAGGGTATTATATGTGTGCCCTTCTTCGTGTTATTCAGAAGGGTATTTTCAAACTGTCGTTCTGTATATAGCTTATTGTGTGTGATATATAACCCTCTTTCCACTTGACGACCGTGGAAATGAATCTGGGCCTGAACTGCAGCCCATGCATTCAGACGGTTGGACCGGTCGCAATGTATCTGTTCGTTCGTCATTCCACATACTCGTCGAATGTTGAGTAGTGGAGTGATGATACGTTATCTGTTTTTTTTCACCCCCCATCTGCCACACAGCACATGGAAGGGTCCTAGACTCCTATTCTGGGAAAAAAAAAAAAAAGGTTCTTTTGCTCGGAACATCCGTTAAATTTGGAACGAAGCCAAAAAAGTTAACAAAAAAGTAATATACTGAATATTAGCATGAAGAAGAAGTTAACAAAAAAGACGAAAGAAGGCAAAATATCGCCTGGAAAGTAGAGAAAAATAAGAAGGAAAGGGAAGGCGAATCCTATCCAAATTGCTCTGGATGTATAGCTGAGATCACCATCTGGTCTATCTTCATCCCCCTTCCCTCCTACCCCTCCGGCCCCCAACCTTGTCTCACCAACTCCCCTTAGCTGTGCATCACACGAAGCCTATATTCTATGACAGTCCCCAACCCCACTCTACCCCCCACTCTACCTTTCACGCCCCCTTCATGCCCCCTTCACACAGAGACTGACATGCTCACAGGGAGACTTTGAAAGTTCTGAGTTGTGTGCCACACAAAGATATCTGCATCTTGGTGGCCGTGAGAACTCTATTATAGTTTATAAGCCAGGTGAAGCAAAAGCTGAACGACTTGTTGAAGATATAAATCCATCTCTAAATCCACCTCTCGGATACACGTACCCTTTGCAAGTACTTCTCAACTCCAAAAACAGAGAGAGAGGATTGCTTTTTTTGCATCTTTTGCAGTGAAAGTACCTATGGTACCAGTTCATATTTGGGTACCTGAAGCACATGTAGAAGCACCCACCGCTGGATCTGTTATCTTAGCGGGAATTCTCTTAAAATTGGGAACTTAGAGAGAGACGGGGGGGAGGGGGGGGGTGTGCTGTTAGTGATTGGGAAGTAACATGTGGAATGTAACTTGAAATGTGGAAAAGTGGAAGCTAACTTGTGGGTGGTTTAGTGTTGTTTTGCCCAGAAGTCAATTTCTGTGTGCTGTGGGAATACAGTTCTGGTCTAGTTTATTAGTGGAGTTAGCACCAAGTAGTAGTAGTAGCAAATATATGTGTGTGTGTGGGGAGGGGGGGTGGGGGAGGAGGGGAAGGAATGCAAGATGTTAGACTCTCTAAGAAATGCTTTCTGAAATTCCGAGTTAACGTACGTGTCAGGTGAAAGTTGTACGCGTCTCTCTCCCTCCTACACACGCATGCTCTCTCTCGCGCTCTCACACACACCTATGCACTCGCTCTCTCTCTCTCTGACATGCACACCTATGCTCTCTCTCTCTCTCTCTCTCTCTCTCTC